GGCCAGGAAGGTAGGGGAATTGTTTAATACATACAGAATTTCAGTTTTGCAACAAGAAAAATGTCCTGGAGATTGGTTGCACAACAATATGAATGTACTTCAACTACTGAACTTAACTCTTAAAAATGGTTAAGATGGTACATTTTTTGCTACATACATTTTACCACCATTAAAAATTAAAGGAAAAAATTCAGAGATTGTGCAGGACCACAACCTCTTATCCACAATTCCGAAGTCCAAAAGCCCTGAAAACCAAAAGTTTTGATTAAACCCTGCTGTCCCAGAGTCCCACAGTGCATTACAGAAGAAATCATGTATGCACCACGTTGATCATTGGAAAATTCTGAATGCTGAAACACACCTGGCCTCCAAAGGTTTCAGATAAAGGACTGCTGAACTATATTCTGATAATCTCCATTTTCCCTCTTCAGACGAGAGCAGACAGTTATTGCTTGTGGAGACCTGACCCATCCATCCATCCACTAACTAATGTGGCATATTACTGTGGTGCTGGGGTTCTGCTAGATGGTCCCCGTTTTGGAAAAAAAACAGTTGACAATGTGAGTAAAATAACTAGCAGGCCAGTTCTTTGTTTTGTTTTCCCACTTTCTCTGCCTGACTTCAGATTTCACTTTAGGATGCTGCTGGGCACACACTGGCACCCCTGGAAAGCCAGACAGGCCAGGGTCCATGCAGGTGCACAGCCATGCTCTAGGATTACTTACCAGATCACACCGGGGCACGCTGGACACAAACTGGGCCCCTTGGCAGCCGAGAATAAATCCAGCTAGATTTAAGAGGACACACACCACAGAGAGCAGCACAAAGAGGTTCACCTGAAGTAGCAAGGAAAGAGGCAGTTAGAATAAGATGATGGCTAAATTCAGAGATAGTTTTGTCTGAGAAAAAAAAATCATATTCTCTTCCTAAAGAATACATTAAAACAAAAAACAAAACAAAACAAAACAAAAAAACAAAACAAGGCGTCTAAGCTTGATTTCAGCTCAGGTCATGATGCCAGGCTCAAGGAATCGAGCTCCGTGTCAGGCTTTGTGCGGAGTGTGGAGCCTCTCTCACTCTCCCTCTGCCTCTCTCCCCCTCTTGTGCACACTCTCCCTCTCTCAAATAAATAAATAAATAAATAAAAATAAACAAATTTTTTAATTAAAAAAGTCAGAACAATGTTTTTAATGTTTAAACTTTTTATTCATATTTTAGAATTTTTAAATTGTGTTGAGCAATGCCATGATTTTTAAGTCTTCTAAATAATGTCAAGTCCCTAATTTTTTCTTTCTTTGCATTTAAGGGTGTTCTGACCCCTTCAGCTTTTATCTGTTCATTGCATTAAGCCATGGCCACTTCCTCTGTGAGCCGTTGTTATTTTTTCTGAGTTTTGCAGGATCAATGGTAAGTATACAAATGGAGAATTGTAGAATATAGGTGGAACCCAAGAAAACTGAAGGTACTCGAGCCCTTATTAGCCAAAAGTCACAATATACAAACAAAAATAAAGATAAGTCTTGTTTCAGTTCCAAACAGAGTAGGTATCAAAGAATAAGTCTATAATGATCTTCTACATACTTTTCTCCAAAGTTAAATATTACAAACGGTATGCTAAATAATTCAGAATTGACAGAAACCAACCAAGGAAGCCAGAATTTACTTAGCATAAATTAGAGACTATTAAGGCTTTTCACCTTGAGAACTATGATTATTATCAAAATCAAACCTTATCACAAATAATAAAAGATCGGAGCTAATAATGATCAGCGTTAGAACCAAGCATCATTTCAGGTAGCTAATGTCAGCATTGGCTGGTCAGTGAGTTCGCACATGAACGCTAATTCAGAAAGCTCGTTCTCTGTTGCTGGTATTCCAAGAAGCTTGAAAGCATCTCCCCAGAACCATGTAATGAGTCAATATTTAATATCACATGATGCCCCTTCTCCTAAGAGGAATTCTTTCTGCCTCTCGAGGAGGAGTCTGGAGCTTGCTTCTCTCCTTGTTTTGTTAATCTGTGCAGTCGGTCATCAAATCTTGGGGAAAAGCTGGCAGCAGCTGCTGTGTTACTGTTTCTCATGATTCCTCAAGTGTCTGCAAGGGCTTAACTTGAGCTGCACATAGCACAGCCTTCTCGTGCACTGTGTCATCCACTACGATGCCAATGCTTTAGAAAATAAGAATGCAAAGTTGGCCAAGGACAGAACGCCACCTTCTTACATGGGCTTCTTCTATGCGCTGGCATTTGCTACTCAAGAGACCTAATACATCTGGAATCTTCACGCTCCGCAATACAACTGCTGTTACTATGGGGAAGTCTAACTTTCCTCTGCAAATTTTCTCTTCATGCCCTATCAGATGCCTTGAAAAGAAAGCATGGTTACAATCCTTATGCCTATCAGCATATCATACATCTTTGTAACTAAAAATTCGCAGCACCAGATATAGAATGAGTGAAGGCTCATTACTTCCAACGCTGGTTCCCAAATCTCTTCATTAAAATCTTAAATCCAGCTCATCAAATGACACCATTAAGAAAACCAAAAGGTAAACCACAGACTGGGAGAAAATATGTCATGCATTTGTGAAACAAAGAAACTTTACCCAGAATATACAAATAACTCCTCGACTCAATAATAAAAAGACAGACAACACAAACAAAAAATTGGGCAAAAGACTCAGAGAGTTATTTCACAAAGGAAGATACGGGAATGGGCAATAAGTACGTGAAAAGTTACTCAACATCATTAGTCATCACGAATGCAGGTTGAAACCACAGTGAGATACCCCTTCACATCAACTAGAACGGTCAAAGTCAGAATGACAACAGCAAGTGTTGGTGAGGATGAGAAACACACAGACTCTCGGGCATTACTTGTCCAAGGATAAAAAGGTACTGCCACTTCTTAAAAACTAAACATAAATCTCCCATGCCAAAGAATTCAATACGATTCCATACAGTTGACCCCTGAACAATGAAGGGTTTAGGGGTGCCAACCCCCAGCCCCTGCATGCAGTGCCAAATGTGAGTAGGACTTCTGACTGCCCATAAACTTAACTATTAATAGCCTACTATTGAACAGAAGCCTTGCCAATAACATAAACAGCCAATGAATTCATATGTTGTATCTTATAGTATTATATACTGTACTCTTACGATAAAGGAAGCTAAGGAAAGAAAATGTTACTAAGAAAATCATAAGGAAGAGAAAATACATTTACAGTACTGGACTGTATTTATCAAGGAAACAAAACCTTGTATCTAAGGGGACCCATGCAGTTCAAACCCCCATTGTTCAAAGGTCAACTGTAATTTATGGAGATACTCCATCCTCGACTCCTTACTCCTTAAGTGTGGCTTGTACACGGTGAACACAGTATAGAAAGGGGAGCGAGGGCAGTCTTCCAGGGGAGAAACCTCACAAACATGACTTCAAGCAGGTAACCAAGGTTACCATCACTGAAAAGTCATGTTCATGGCATGTACCCTTGATATGATGTGATGAAAACGGCATTTTACCTCTGTGTTCTTCCTCTGCCAGACCGATGATAATTCCAGTCTATGCAGAAGAAAAACATCAGCCAATCCCAACTGAGGTCCACACTACCAGATACCTGACAAGTCCTCCTCAAAACAGTCAAGGTCATCAAAAACAGGGGAAGTCTGAGAAAATGCCACAGACAAGCGGAGCCTAAGGAGACATGACAAGCAAATGTAATGTAGTTCTAGGATGGGATCATGGACAGAAAAAAAAAGTAGATAGAAACTAAGGAAATCTGAAAAGTATGAATTTTAGTTGATAATAATGTCTCAATATATATTCGTTAATTGTGACAAATGTACCATACTAATGTAATATGTCAACAATGGGAAAACTGGGTATGGCATATATAGGACCTCTCTGTATTATCTTCGAAATACTTCTGTAAATCTAAAATTATTCTACAACAAAACGTGTATTTAAAAGTTGCAGGGGTGCCGGGATGGCTCAGTCAGTTAAGTGACTTCAGCTCAGGTCACGATCCCACGTCTCGCGGGTTCGAGCCCCGCATTGCACTCTGTACCGACAGCTCGGAGCCTGGAGCCTGCTTCAGATTCTGTGTCTCCCTCTCTCTCTCTCTCTGCCTGCTCTCTCGCCTCTCTCGCGCGCGTGCGCTCTCAAGAATAAATAGATATTAAAAAAAAAAAACTGCAAGAAAATCTGAATATACACCTACCTATGACCTGCAATTCCACCCTTAGGAATAGACCACAGAAACAAGTGCAGATGCCCACAGAAAGACTTATAGAAGAATGTTTACAGAAGCTTTATGTATATCAGGCCAAAAATGAAAATAACTCGAATATCCAACAGCAGGAGAATAAGCAAACAAATTGTGGTATTTTCAAACCGTGGTATACTTCCAGCAATAAAAAGGAATACATTACTGATACACAACAACACAAACAAATTCAAAGGCATTAGGTTGAATGAAATAAGCCAGATACTGTATGATTCCACTGACATGAAAGTTCAAGAATAGACAAAATAATCATGCTGATGATCATTTAGAAAATAATCTTAGAAGATTTAGGGCTATTAGAAGTCAGAAGAGTGGTGCCTGTTTTCAGGGGAGGTGTGAAATGAAGGGACAGACTCGGAAGAGAGAAGAGGATTTTCGGGAATGATAAAAATGTCTCATATCTTGGTTTGGATACTGGCTACATAGGTGTATCGAACTCCCAAAACTTAGCTAACCGAACACTTATGATCAGGGATTTATATAAATTATATTTACTATATTAAAAAGACAGTCAGAAAGACGATTCTGAATCCACTTGCCAAGCGAGGAGTGTGAGATCATACCATGAATGAGGCTACTTCTCAAATGTCAGAAAAACAAACAAGAGGAGAAAATGCTCCAGGGATTCACTGCCTGGTAGACTTAGCTTCTCTCCTGCACTGGATGGGCTGCCAATGAGAAGTCAAAGTCAAATTACCAGAATGTCACCCCTGCAAACCCCAGAATGAGGACGTGGGCCAAGGCACATAGGCTGTCGACAAAATCACCACGCACTCTTCCCCAAATGTATTCCTCCATATGGCTTTTTCATTATGATCATTAAAACTCTGGCCAAACTTGTTGACTATTCAGTCATCTGAATTACTCTAGTGTAGAGCACTGCAGCATAATCAGACATGGGGGCTATTAGGATAGCAAGCATATCTCTTTCAGAGGTTGGCTCAGGTTCAAGGGTACACAATACTAGAGTTATAAGGGACCCCACTTAGGAGGGTCCCTTTTATCATCACCAGAGGGTGTCTCCCAACTAGAAGGCAGGAAAACATTAGCTGCAAAGGAGGAATATCATAGTCACAAAATCCACTCAGCTATATCTGGAAAGGGGAAGAATTTCTTACATTCCTTATATTGTCATCATTCTTGCTTAAAAAAAAAAAAATGTTGCAGGTGATTTGAGTTTCTCTTTGTGGAAAGCACCTGAATTTGGAAATCAGGACACCTGGTTCAAAATCAGGCTTTCACTTATTTTAGGCAACCTCTGTGAGACTCATTTTTCTCATCTGTGAAACAGGTCTATATTCTTTTTTTTTTTTTTTAAGTTTATTTATTTTGAGAGAGAGAGAGCACATGCAAAGCAGGGGAGGGCAGAGAGAGGAGAGAGAATCCCAAGCAGGCTCCACACTGGCAGTACAGAGCCCGACACAGAGCTTGAACTCATGAACCATGAGATCATGACCCAAGCTAAAACCAAGAGTCAGAGGCTCACCTGACAGCCACCCACACACCCCCAGGTCCATATTCCTAGCCACCTCACAAAATTAAATACAGACTC